CCTATGTAAGTACAGGAGCAGGTGGAATAGGCTCATACTTAACCTTCTGTGCATTTCAAACTGAAAATAGGGTTTATAGATGGAAGATTCAGATGAGAAAGGCAAACTCCAGCATGTGTCCTGTAAATGCCTTAACAATCTGAGTTCGTAAAGAAGTTCTTCCCACTTTTACAATCCAGCACGTACTAGCTTTTCACTCTTTGCAGATACATCAGCAGCTTTGTCATGTAGGTAGACATAAAGAAATGTTTGAATTTAGAACCTCTCCTTTCAAATAATTTAGGAAAAAAAGAAAAGAAAAGGTGAAAAATAGACATTTGATAGAGCCATCTGCTACATCATGTGAAAGACCCACTATTAATTCTGACATTGGCTAGATATCTTTTTTAAAATCATTTTTTAAAACCAGTCTATTCCCTTAAACGCTACTATTCAGATTTCTGGTTTTATATTTTAAAACATATGAAAGAGTTTTAGGAAATCCAGCTTTCATCTTTGCCAAAGTTTTTTATGGATTATTCTTCTGTTACTCGAGGTGAGCAGTAACAAAGCAAAACTCGCCAAACAAAACCATGCAGAGTCAGGCCTTCGATGTCTGCCAGCCTACCATACAGCAGTCAGAGGTATAAAACACTTGTCCTTCTTACAACCACAGCCCAATGAGTCCTCCTTTCCTAATCTGTAATCGCTATGCACGCATTGTTCCAACAGTCAGCTTCACACAATTTGACTTTCAGGCTTCTCTGGCAAGAGCTTAAAAGGCTTTCACTCGTTTTAGTCTTCTTTATTCTGCTACACAAAGAAAATTGCTGAGAGACATCAAATACTGGTTTGCTACAGACGCGATCATATGAAACTTGCTTACTCAAACAACAGGCTTTTCCTCTAAAGCATGGAGCACAGAACCATGACGTGTGGGATGACAACTTTGATGGACCCACAAAGGGCAATGATATTTCACTGCACAGTCATAGCTCATGTTTAGATAAACATCCTGTTTGATGCAATCCAGTAGCACTCTAACCCTCACTTCTACAAGGGATTAACTTTCACTAAACCGACGGAAGCGGTATCCTGTTAATACACGAGTGTCTGTTCTGCATTTCTTTCGTGAGAACTTCCATTGCAAATGGCTGTCTGGTTTTGTGGCTCTTTTTTAAAGGAAGGTTATCTTGTGTTTCAAACCTATTTTCCCAGTGTACACTTGTAGAAAACAGGGCATATTTTGGGCCAGAGTATTTTTGCAAAAGTTTGCAAACAAGGAGTCATCATTTTACTTTATTCCTTTTTAGAGAGTTTTCCTATTACAAAATAATATCTGATAATATTGCAATGTCTGATGATATTCCAAAACAATTATTTATAAAACATTTTTTAAAAAACATAAGAAAATTTGTAAATAGAAGATTTGCAAAGATGCTTTTGCTATAACTAAATTATTTTTACTGTTCCAATTTGTTACATGTAACTTGAAGCCTTTTATCTTCATAATAGCAGTGCGTGGACAAACTAACGACACATTCCAACAGACGCTTAAGCATGACAGATGAGGAAATTCGTTTATACGAAAATAACTGAAGTGCATCAACGATCAAGATTAAGTTTTAGATATTCCCTTTATTTTCCAGATAGAAACGTACTGTAAGAAAGATCAAACTGTGAATCTTTATTAAAAAAAAAAAAAATCAAAGCATCAATGTAAAGAAAATAAACTGTTATAACAGTCTAACTGAAAACTGTAGAAAAGGAGGATGCAAATTGTAACAATCATCCTTGCTTCCATACTGGAAGTATCTGCTGTGCATGAGGAAGAATCAGCAATTTTCCTCCTTCAGACACACAACAGCAAAGATAAAGCTTGAGCAATTTGCTAAAATCATTAAACAACAGGTGTATAGGTTGTCTTGTTTCTAGCCCTTTTGGACTGTTATAGAGCTACACTGGAAGCTTCTTACAGCTAGCATTTCACCGTGTGCCTTTTCTTCCAGACACGAAAACATAGTTTATTGTTATTGCAAAACATCTGCATGTTTTAACAAAGGTTGGTTCATGCAAAGAAATCAAAGTGAGCAACATAAGTAGAAGAATTAAATTGGGGTTTTACATTAATTATTATTATGACAATAACTGTGTGAAGAAAAAAAACCAAACGCTAAAAGTCCTTCTGTCCGTACTCAAAGTGTCAGTGTTCAGTCCCTCAGCAAACAAATGCTGACACGTACAGTATTAACAAGTTAAGCCACAGTATGCATTATTTCTTCTGTGAAATTCAATCATTCTGTCTTGCGAGGACTTCATATAACTTCCTTTGCTTCTCAGTTTTGTTCTTATCTCCCTCAACCACAATAGAGTTTCAGGTTTGAAAGATCTGGACCTTCAAAATACCGTAATTTTTAATTGTTAACTTGGTAAACTTCCTATCTTCTAATCCTACTCAAAAAGTCTGTTTCACCACATGAGAATGAGAGAAACTTCACATGCCCCGAAGTTTCAGAAATTGAAGTTTGCTTCAATTATACCTGAGGTAATCCTATACAACATGTTGGGATGACTGAGATCGCAGCTAGGATTCTGTCCTTCCAACAAAAATTACCTGAAAGTTCTGTACATCTTGGCAAATCATCTGCTAGATACACTCTCAGCTCTGGGTGGGTTTAGTGTTGGTAGCTGGTAAGTTCAGATTCCAAGTTTCCACAGGAATGGCTACTGTCTCTTTCATTACTAAAGCTTTCACACTTTCCTGCGTCAGACAGAGGCTCTCTTCGTGCCTTAACATTTCCCAACAAGGCTGCGAGGAGTTGTGGGTCTTCATGGCTGAAGACTTGCAAGAAGAGTTCAGACAAGCGACCACCAGTAAGCACAGCAGCACTGACCACTGATCCTGCCCTGGGGTACCTGGAGGGGCTAAATGGCCTCTCGAGAACCCTCTCAAACCTACTTTTGTAAGATCAGTGACTAGCTTTCATACTTTCACACCAGATTACAAGATGACCTGAGAGTGTTGTGTAATGAGTTTGGGAGTCCTAAACAATACACCTTGCACCCTAGTTTACTTGCATCAAAAGCAAGGCTTCAGCCACTTTCCAGCTGATTTGGAGCTGCCATAACTGGCACATCCAAGGAAGCACATCTTTTGTCCTGGGGCACTCTAACAGAACCAGAAGGGAAGCAGACGGGAAGAGGAGGTAGAGAAGATCTGTGAAGAACAAATGTGAAGGAGTCATAACAGCAGGCTTGAAAATAAAGAAAAAAACTTGGAATACTTGGAGTAGGGGTAGCAAAGAGATGGTGGTGAAAGAAAAAAACCCACATACTTTGGTTTTGATTTAGAAATATAGTGTCCCTAAACAGTTGTGGAAAAAGGTTTGAAGATATAGAGGCAAACCAGTGGTGCTACAGTACTGAAGATGAAGTAAGAAACTTTACCAAGAGTCAGCTCAAGAAGATTGTCTGTTTAAAAGTTTCCACACATTCACAAGACCAAAACCTAGTAACCTGGTGTAACATCAACAGTATGATTTCTGTCCTCATTTTATATATTTCTGCTGATTGGGGTGAGAGGGTGTTTGTTCGAGTCAGTCAGCACAACTACAAATCTCTGTAATCTACAGATTTCTCCCTCATTAGTGACTTCAGCCTACTGATACTTATCCTACCAGAGGAAAGCTGTGAACTTCAATCTATGAATTAGTAAAAATAAACTACAACAGCACTATCAGAGACCTCTGAGTGCAGTCTCTCAACAAGAATCTTCATAACCCAAATTATCTTCAATTATACCTGATATTGATATAATTGAACAGAATATTGAGTATGCCACATACCGGGAAAGTAGACTGTCTGAATTCTGGATATTAAAAGTGCTTGGTGCATCACAGCCTTAAGCGTTAGCAACAAAATCAAATATTTATCAATACTGAAACTTTGGTTAATTATAAATCAACTTCAGATCTTGTTTCTAGTAGTCTGAGAAAGTAAAGGAAGCCTGCAAGCCTAATTAAAGCACACACACAGTGTTCTAGGAATCACAGGGACTGCCTTACCTGAACGCATTTCACTTTTCCATATTCAAATGTAGAGTATTACTTTGTGAAATAATAGGCATGGTACTGAATCTAAAGCTAGTTAATTTTAAATTGCATATATGAAAATATTATGAAAAAACATGTATTTCTATATCATTATGATTTTCTATTTCCACACCTTAGCCAGTTAGCTAACTTAATTAAAGTTACTAAAACAACTCCTAGAGTCGAGAACACAAGAATGATGAAGGTCAGAAAAGATGCCAAGGTTGAAAATAATGAAAGAGAAAACCAACAAAACCTAAGCAAAGAACACCACTTCAAAGACTGAGGGAAGATGAGATTGCTGGTATATGTAAGTCAGATGACATTCAGGGTAAAATAAATTGATCAGCAGTTCTCACTTACCTTTCTATGAAGCCTAACTGCCTTTAAAAGGCTTTGTTTCATCTTCCAAGCTCTAACAAGTTTTAAGCAATAGATAGCTGCCTTACATACAAAACAAAGATTCTGATACCTGTATTCACACTGTATTTCTTCCTTGAAAATCTGCTGATCATTTGCCTAATTTAACTTTAGCAAGCATGAATGAAATTTTTTATTTATCATTATTTAAATAACACCTTTTCTCTACAGTAACAGTAAATTCCGAATACAGAAGCTGCACAATAATAACTTGGAACATTTTTCTAAGAGAGCATGATCCTCCTTCCAAGCTTCCACTTTTTATAGATCCAGTCTAACAAAATCACAGCAGAGAGTAAGGTAATATCAGGTCTGTACGGCCTGGGACAAAGGCTAATCTGGAATTAAAATGGATAATGTGACTTACATAATACGGGGCCGCAAAGACGACAAAAACAGATGCATATTTATCTGCAGTTATCAAGCTTATGAATATCTTTATTATCTGCTATAAAGCTTCTGTTTACCTACATCATGCAGAGGAACTAAGAAAACAAACACAAAACATACCTGTATTAGAGAGAGATCCTCAAGCTGCAACCTGAAGAGGTAGTTTCTGGGGTTAAAAAAAAAGTAGATAAAAATTAATTGTTACTAGTGTTTAAGTAAAAAAAATGTTACTAGTGTTTAAATTAAAACATAATTAATGAATATAAGACAGGAAAAAATTTAAAAGTGACTGGTAGTCAGGGCTAAATTCTTTCAGGGGCTGTCTTAACATACAGCCCTTTAAGCTAAGGACTAAGTCAATTTTTAACACAGATTTTCAGTTTGAAGGACTAGCTGCATATGAATAAAGTAGATATTTATACTGCATACATGTAGATCTGAGTCATTGCTCCAGTCTTCCTTTAGAATCAGTGGGAAAAAATACTCAGTGCTTTGACAGATTCGTGTGACCAGTCAGTGTTAGATGCCTAAATAAGAGGACAGGCAGATTAAAGCTGTCCATTTCTCTCCACAATGATGGGAACCTTATGCAACTGGCTCTGTTGGGAACCTTATGCAACTAGCTCAGCCACAGATACATGAAGTTTAAAGTAAAGGATCCTGTTTATAATAGAGTGTCTATAGAAGCCACAGAGTTTTCACCATGCTGACTGAAGTCCTGTCACACCCAGTCTAATTTCTTTGAAACCCAAGGATTTTTTTTTCCATGTACAGTAGGAGCTGCATACGAACCAAGCACATTTTTCAAAAGCTCACACTTTCATTGTAAAACGATTTCTTGCTCCACTTTCTTTCTACAGCAATATCACTGCACCTACAGAACTTGGGAGCAGTTCAGGCAAACCACAAACAAGACGCAACGCAAAGGCACTGCTTGAAGCCTGGTGAAATGCTGGGTTAGGATACTCAGAAAGGTGAGCATGCCCCACTGACCAAAACCACTTCCTTCAGCATGTACTGGTCCAATATTTGGGTGCTATCACAACTCCTCCCAACTTACTGTGTCTATCTAGTTAGTGCAGCTGTCTTGTTACACCTGTTCTGATGAGCCAGCTGTGTCAGCAGCACACATGATATCAGCCCACAACCCTCACAAAAATGAGCAAACACCACACCATCTTTGAACTGATTTCAGCACTTCCTTCTCCAGTACAGATTCTCTTTCATTCTAGGTCTGCAATAAGGCTCTTCCACACTCTGCATCCATATTCCTCCTGCCCGATTTTTTTTCTTTTCTTCTTACTGTATTCACACCTCTTTCTTCTTTTCATTGTCTTTTTTTAACTACATTTTCACACATATAATATTCTTTAGTCCTCTTCCACTTAATTTTTACCTTATTTAAAGCAATTCTGATTTTCCTATGCCACTACAGAGTGATTATGTTTTACAAATAAAAACAAAAATGAAGAAATTAGAGAGATTAATATAAATTACTTCAATTTTAATTTATTCATAAAAATCTGTAACATTAAATTCTAAAATTTCAACAAAATCACTGAAAGTAATGAAAAATCCAGAGATAAGCAAATTTGCATTTTAAATATTTGCCATATTCACAGATTATCCGTAATATTACACCCATACAACTGGTAGAATTATAATCCAAATTAAAATTAGAGATAAAATTTGAGGTAATAATTCTAATTCTTTCCAAAGAGGTATGAGGCATTGCTAATGGGCACAGATGGTCAGCACCAGTAGTTTACATCTCTTAATTTTTTAAATGAGCCAGTGATGGAGAGGGGGGGCAGGACTAGGAATATTGCTAAAAGGAGTTACACAAAATGAAGAAGCAGACTATTAAGGGCAAGAATTGAAAAGAAATTAAAATAAAGACAGAATATTTCTTATTAGCACAGATAAATAGTCACAAAGAAAAATCTAAAACACATGGGTTTGAGTCATGCAGAGACCTGAAGCGGGCAAACAAAGAAAATGATACATTGCAGGACAATGCTTACACAAAGCTTCATCCACAAGCTATATGCAAGTTGACTTGAAAGACTTTCACTGAAACGTCAGGAAGCACATAGTCTTTCTAACCCATCTACATTCTCTCTGTAAGGACACAAAATACTTTCGTATCTCCAAAATGCCTTGCTTAGAAATATTCAGCAGGGAACATAAATACTCGGACGGCTCCTCATCTTATTGCATATAAGCTTCCACCAGCCATCCCTGATTGTGCTTCTTTCACTCCAGCTATCAAAGTTAAAGAAATGTGCAACTTCTCTGCTGTTGCAAATCTTTTTTTTTCCACTTACAGGAGCAGAACATCTTTTTTCTTCCATAGAAATTGAACTGCATCCTTAGCAAGTATAAACTGTTTTCGTAACTCGGTTGTATCAGACTCACAGGAGTGGCACATAAATGCCTCATCTCACTCTACAAATAAACGCAGTCTCTGTTGCAGAACATACGAGCAGAGAGTCTGGTCTCACACTCTCAGTTTTCGGGTCAGTACTTAGCACAGTGTCATATCAATCTCTATGCATACTTCATCTTGAGATATCTACTGAAGATTTATCACTGTGGCATTTTAGGACAGAATACTGAATTATTAATGTCTTTTTATGGTCTTTCATCTTGACATCATTTCACCATATTAAAAAGCAAGCTATTGTCCCAAACTGTAAAAATTCTAAATGAATAAATACATAAATACAGTGTCATCCTGAAGAAAAACAGAGGCTGAAAGTTGTTGGGTTTTTTTAACCTAGAAAATGAGATTTATATCTCATGCAGTAGAGCACAAAACTTCTACCCATTAATATACCCATTGTGGAATTCGAAATATTGAGCCTGTAAGTGTTAGAGAGACTAAAATGTCTATATTCCTGTGAATGAGCCAAGAGCCAGAGCTAATTAGTGTATATTTTTCAGCTTCCTGTGGTTGCCAACAACAATTAAAATATTATTTTCAGCTTCACGAAGCCAGCAGAAAGAAAATGGAAGAAGAAAAGCAATGTGCAAGACATTGTAAAAGCATCATGCCTTTGCAACATAGAGGTAAAGTGGGCAAATGGACAGCAGAGCGTGACTGTGCCTACATGAATAATGCTAAGACAAGTGGCAAACTAGAACTCAGAGAGCAATCAGAGCCACTCCTACCTAAATGTGTCCACTTCAGTAAAACTTGCAGGACTAAGTTTAGCTCTACAACAGTTCAAACATTCTAAGGCATTCACCTCTAATATGCAAGAACTCATTCAAAAAGAACATATATAAGAAGAATCTAAAAAAAAAAAAGTGTGACAGTAAAAAAACACACTGGAAATATGATATCAATAAATCTGGCAGTCCAAAGATAAAGTCAGTGCCAATTTTCATGACGTGCAGAGTCACTATGCTGCTCACAAGATAGGTGACAATACTTTTTTCTATATGTTATTGAGATCATGCCCTGGATTGCCATTTTTCAACCTCTGTTTGGCTTTATTCTACTGAATTTGTGTTATGAAGGCAACAAAAGTTGTGAAATAAAAATGACCAAGTACTTTTCTGAAGCATAGATACAGACCTCTTAGTACCTAGGCCTGCCTCTTGTCCAAATGCAATGGTAATAAAAGTAAGACATATACAACTTTACATGCTGTAATGAAACTGATTTGACACTGGCGGTAATTGGTAAATTTGTTTCCATTTGGTGCTTAATGAATGAGGAAATCAAATACGCTACATAAATCTGCAAGCAGAAGAACACTGTAATGAGAAGAAAACACTACTAACTCTGAGGTAAAGCAGCATCTTATATTCCTTCAGATAGCCAGAAAGCAACACACATTTTGGTCTACTTACACAGAACTGAACAACTTTTCTAGCCTATGATAAGTAAAACCAGTTAATCAAGAGCCTACTCAAACTCAGTGGCACAGACTTCCACCAGTATCAGTGGGAACCGAACAAAGCACCACAAAAACCATGCTCCAGTGACCTCCTTCAGGACAACGTATTTCAGACTATTGCAATGAATATATTCAGTACGACTACAGATGAAAGCATACAACTAATCTGTTGTACTTTCCTAAACAAGTCCATATCAAAAACCAACTAAAACCCCATAAAGTTTCAAAAGTATAGCATATTAGCAATGGTTGTTAAATCCAGCATTTTACCTTTTCTTTGTGAAATGGCAAGGTATAAGATGTGAACACAACAAGAAATACTGTTGCATTAAACACAGACACAAATTAGAAGAACATTAAGGTGGCACACAGAGCTTAGGAAAACATACTATAGACTAAGGTTTTGAAAAACTCATATTTATGACAGCAAAAAAACCATTCCCATCCCAAGCCCCTATACGCATCTGCCTGAAAGCCTGAATCAATAAATAGCGGCTGCAGCAAACTCAGAAACTCAAGGCATGACCAGACATGCTGCCAAATCTCCTGGAAATAAAACAGTAAAAGATTCCTTCCTGTGCACTTCTTTCAAGAAACTATTTCACATGAAAGAAGAAAAATTTATTCAATTTACTGGAAGGAAAAAAAATTAAGACTGAAAATGAAAAGCACAAGCTCTGTAAGAATGAACTATTAAGGAAAAAGTCACAATTCCACAATCAAGATGGGAACATGTTCGGTAAAAGCCAATTCTACTTCTGCAGTGTAGTAAAACCAGCAATTGGAAATAAAACATAAAAAAGAAAAAGAAATAAGAATCGGAGGAAAGGACATAATCAATATAAATAAAAATTTATGATGTAGAAAATTCATTTGGTTATATTCAGATATAATACAAAAAATGCATGAAAAAGCTAAAGATGATACATTGGAAATAAAAAAACCCCTAAGCAACGTGGTCTAGTTGAACTATTATATGAAAATGATCAAATTACAATAATGAAAAGCAGAACAGTCACTAAGCAATTTTTTATCTGCATTTTGCAGGAAACAGAATTCTTAGCAAAAGAGAATAATGAAATAAGTAGCTTACTGATAAATGCTAAAGTTGTGAAAACAGCATATACACAGAGATAAATATTTTCCAATTAGCAAGTCAGGCTAATTCAACCTAAAAATTATGGTGAAGTGATCTTTGGTGGTCTTATTGATCTTTTCTAATAATTTCTAAAATTACAGGTGTTCCTGAGGAATGAAA